GGAATCGAAAATATATTCCCTTGCTGAGCGACAGCTATAAGAACATTAAAGACTTCAAGCGCCTCAAGAATATCGTCAAACTGCATTTTGTTTCAAACAATATAAGCAGTAGTCAATGCCCCCTCTCAAAGCCGACCACTGTGAATGATACAAAACTTAAATTTCAATTGCTGGACTATGATGCAAAGAACTATTGGTGCTTTAATGAGACGGAAAAGTTGCAGGTGGATGAATTAGTTTGCCAGAGTCGCAACTTACTTATACTCGAGAGGGAGCTTCATAACGCAATGAAGATCATCACAGCTACAGTGGGCAGCCTTCTCTTCATATTCATTCTGGGATTTGTCATATACCTGAAGCGTTGGCACATTCACTACTATTATGCCTCACTTAAGTCAGCTGCGCTTTTATCTACTGCCGCTAAAGATAGGATCCGACATCTAGCCGAAAGTGACCCGAGTGTTATTTATGATATATTCATAAGCTATTGCCAAAACGATCGACAATGGCTTTTGGATGAGCTTCTGCCAAATGTGGAGAAATCTGGTGATATTTCAATATGTCTGCATGAACGTGATTTTCAGGTTTGTTCAAAATGTCCTTAATCCCAATAGGGCACGATCTAGTTCTATTATCTTGTTTACAGATCGGAGTGACTATATTGGACAATATTATCTCGAGTATGGATCGTTCGCGCTCTCTTATGCTGCTAATATCATCAAAGTTTTTACTCAGCCATTGGTGTCAATTCGAAATGTATCTGGCTCAACATCGGTAAGAATTAAAAAAAGAGAAAGCTCAATATAAATATGAGGATTGTGTGGAGTGACTCCTTTAAACATACATTCACAAATCAATTTCATTCTATTCCAAACAGTATATTTGAAATGAGTAAAGAGCATTTGATACTTGTGTTTCTGGAAGACATACCACGTAGCAAACGACCGAAAACTCTACAGTACCTAATGGATATAAAGACCTACATTAAATGGCCGAGTAAAGGAAATAAACAGCCATCATTGGAAGAACGGAAACTGTTTTGGAAACGTCTAAGAAAGTCTTTGGAGTTTATTGGCATAGGCACTAAAGATTCCAGAGTATAAGCGCTGTTTAGATTTTAACATATAAAAATATTCTAGTCTGTTTATTAAGTACCTGATATACACATTAATTAATTTTATGAAATATACGAAAATCGCTTGGACTTTGGTATATTTTAAGTTATAAGCATTAAATTAGTTTAGATTGAATAAATGATTCGTTGTTGCAACTTACATTTATCGTTACTAACAATACGGAATATTCTAATAAAATTTAAAGAACACCATCGATAATTTACTGTAATCGATATGTGATGAGTATACCAGGCTTGCCTGTTATATATATCGATATAACTGTGACAGCTGTTAAATGGATTTGGCGCCATTTTAGTAAATCGCAATTGTGCATTATTTGCCAACATGGATTTTAATTTAAAGAAACGCGCACGACACGATGTAAAAGTTGAAGTGATTAGCCTGGAAGCCAAGTATCCGCATAATGTAATGCTCTATCATTATCCGCCAACAGAAGATATTCATATTGATGAATTCGAGGATCTCGCTTTGGAGCGTCTACGCCTATTGCGCGTTTTCGATCGCGCCACTACAAAGGGATTACGTATCCTTTCGGACGACTGGAAGGAATATGTGAATGCTGAAATGACCAAAGACGGACTCCGTGGATACCTGCGCATGGGCATGGCCAGCAGTGGTACCAAACACGAAGCCGATGTACAAATGCGCCGGCGTGACTATTTGTCGCATTTCATACTACGCTTAGCCTATTGCCGTTCGGAAGATCTGCAACGCTGGTTTGTGGCACGAGAAATGGAGTTTTTCAAATACAAATTCGCCGCACTTAGCACAGCTGAAATCAAGATGTTTCTGGATGCCAACAATTTTCAAATTCACCCATTAACAGAGGAGCAGAAGGACGAGGTCAAGGACGGCCTCTATGAAAGCACAGTGGGTCAGAGTGTATCAAAGATCGAGCTATTAGAGTTCTACAAAGTGCCCTTCACACAAGTCTTGGATTTGGTGCGTACTAGACGTTGTTATATAAAAGCGGGATTTGCCTATGTTAACACGCATGATATGGTGTCTATTGTCGGCGCCAGGCAACTGGAGGAGATTGAGCTTGGCATGCAAGCAGCTAAAGCTTTTATTGCTGATGTTGAAGCAGACGAGCGCATTGCTCGAATGATTAAATCACTGCATAACTCATATACGGGCAAAGACTACACAGTGTGCAGAGATGAGTCTGTGCCTATTGAGTCTCTGGATCAGTTATCCAAGACATCCATGCCGTTGTGTATGCGCATGTGCCACGAGCACATACGCAGTCAGCACCACATTAAGCACGGCGGACGCATGCAGTACGGCCTCTTCTTGAAGGGCATTGGCGTGACGCTTGAGGATTCGATACGATTTTGGCGGGAAGAGTTCACCAAGAAAATGGACGTGGACAAGTTTACGCGTAGCTACGAGTACAACATTTATCACAACTATGGCAAGAAGGGCTCAATGGTCAATTACACGCCTTACTCCTGCCTAAAGATCATCAAGGAGATGGCCGCTCCTGGTGATTGCCACGGTTGTCCATACAAAACAATGGACCCAACTTCGCTGAAGGCCAAACTCTCTGCGTATGGCCTCTCCGCGGGTGGGATTGAGGAGGTGATGTATTTCGTGTCCCGCAATCATTATCAATTCGCCTGCGGAAAATACTTCATGCTTACGCACAATTCCACAGTGGAACCCACAATCAATCATCCAAACAAATATTTCGAGGAGAGCCAAATCTTGATGGGCAATCGACAGAAACGTGCACCGGGCCCTGCTCCAGCAAGCAATAAACTTAGAACCGGAATCAAGGGAGGTGCCAACAGATCCATGTTGAATGGCGATGATGATGACGAACTGTGGAGAATAGCTGAAACCCAAGAGAAAGTCTACCAGAGCCAGAAAGGCATTGCAGAGGCCTTCGATGATGATCTAGATCTTACAGAAATAATAGAATAAATATTAAATAAAGCTATTTATAAGTGTTCAATAGATTTGAATGCAAAGCGAAATGAAGGAAAGACGAAAGAAAATCAAGCTGCAATATGACAGAGAGTGGATAAAATAAGATATCTTTGGGAAGACAGGTCGATTTTAAACTGAAATTTAACATATATTTTGCAATTGTTAAAAAAACTAAGACTTTTGCAATTTACTCAGAAATTTAGAAATGCAGCTGGGCTTAGCGCATTCAGCGATACCTTGCCTTGGTACATTGTAGTTCTTCCCAAAGGGACTTCGACCATTCACATCCACGTAGAAAATGCCATTGGCCTTTCTATTTATCAAGTAGCCCATGGTTGAAGTTATGTCAGATTCGCATCTGTGCCACTCAAGCATTTTCCAGGAGCTGCATCGAATACCCACAAAACTGCGCTCCTGCTGCGGATAGACACTCTCTGCAAAATACTCAACTGCACGCGTGTGAGAGCAGCCGATGGTCAGGCAGCCAGGCTTTATGGGATGAACACCACCGGGATAGAAGTCAATGTCACCGATTGGATCTCGTTTAGCCAGAATACCATTATTTGTATGTATCACATCTACTAATTCAGCATCGCCTCGCATTAGACCAGGAAGTGACTTTTCATTACGAAAGCAGGGCTTGGCAGGATCCAGAGCTGTAATACGAGACACGCGATATCCTGTGAGTTGTTTGAATGTCCGCCCAGCGGTGCCCATGATGTGTGCGCCCAATGAATGGCCTAGAAAATTTCTGTCTGATATCTAGTACCCGAACAATTCAATATAATGCTCACCTATCAAATGAATATCAATCAACGGGGAGACTTTAATCAAATGGTGTAAGCCAACAGCTAGATGCTCGCCAATGAGATCAGTATTCAGGGCCGACCACTTGTACAGAGTGTCCACATAGTAAGCGGCATCTACAATCTGCAAGTATATTTATTTAATATTTGTATAACTACTTGAATTAACAACTTATTATTTACCACGAAATTCACACGAGGTCTGCACATAAAAGCCCTCGATATCATCGAAATGGTAGCTGAAGCGTTAACCGTATTGGTCCAGCCCGTAGCCAATATAACTAATTTACGATTGCGTCGAAATTGGGGATGATTCCAAAGTTTCTCAGCTTTCAGCAAGGGAACACTATAGTTCAGACACGGAGTCATGTACTGAAAGTGCATTTTCGTTATATCCGGTTGAATTTGTGGTGGTACGCCTCCCATAAACAATGTGGAGGAGCCTGTTAAGCGTTGAGATGGGATACTGAGAGTAGAGGCGAGTGTATTGCTAAATGAGAGCCAATAGCTTAATTGCCCCATCAACTTACACAAGCTGTCAATAACAGTGGCAGCCATCTCCAATGGAAACGATGTGAATATATTCATTTTCAACGTTAGGATATCCAGGAGTCTGTCAGAGACACTCGGCCACCAGTTTAACGTTAAGTTATTCGACTGTTCAGTATGCTCCATGCTGCTGATCAGTATAATACTTAAAATTGTAAATCTAAAGAGCAGGGATCGCATTTTGCAGTATATAAAGTCCGCAATAGACTAATTTTGCGTAAAGTATTTTAACTTCTACACATACTGGCAAAATGATTGCGAAAACTTTTGTCTTTGTATTATTGCAAAAATTAAAAGAATTAGAGCCGAAGCTTATATACCCTTGCATAATTAGTCATCAAAACATTTACCTAAATTAATACGAACGAAATTAAGAACTCAATATACCCCGCGCGTAAATGAAATCGGGTCATGAAACATATGTTCTTTGCACTTATAGTTAATTTAACCCAAATACAAATCCAGATTAATGTCAATGCCAACAGATGTGTCGAATTTAAGGTACATTCAACTCTTAGACAGTAGGATTTCAAGTGAGAGCAACTGCAACAGTATTTAAATTATACAGATTATGCCCAAGAGAGTCTTTGTTTATTCAGAATCTTCTAAAATCCATTTAAGTTAACACACTACACCAAGGCACTTGCATTCTTTATTTACATCGTCCGAATCTACAGTTGAATGCTTGCCAAATGGTGGCTTACTATTCACTTCTAGATAGTAAATACCTGTGGCATTCTTATCAACTTCATAGCCCATAACTGAGTGGGAGGAGCTGCAGGCTTTAGCACGCATATTTTCCATTGAGCTACATTTGGAAGCCAGGAAGTTTTGCTCCTGGCCTGGATAAACACTTTCGGCAAAGTACTCAATTGCTCGACTATGTGAGCATTCAAAGAATATGCAGCCGTTTTGAATTGGATCGTCACCTCCTGGATAGAAATCGGCATGAGCAACTGGCGAATCCTCTCCCAATAAGCCAGCATTTGTGTGTATGACATCTACGAACCGGGCAATATCACTGGCTTTGCCATCACTTCTAGATTGGGCTTTAAAGCACGGCTTGGCCGGATCCAAACCTGTTACACGATCCACCAGGCGTCCTGTTAAATTTTGATACTGTCGCGCAGCGAATGCCATAATATGTGCACCCAATGAGTGACCTACAAAATTAGATCGTTGATAATTATCTGAATACAGTGTCTAGTTAGTTATTGATCAATGCAAACCGATAAGATGAATCTCGGCTGATGGATTGGCATCTGTCAGTTGCTTTAAGCCGAGGCTAATGTAGTCCCCAATAATATTGGTGTTCTGCACAGACCACATATAGAGCATATCCAGGTAGCTCGATGTATCTACGACCTTAAGAGCAATATATATAGTGTATATAGAAAGAGATATGCATGCCTTAAGGTATACCACGAAATTAACATCGGGACGACACATGTAAGCCCTTTGTAACACGTCCTTGGCAAATGAAGACCTGAAAGTTGTCAACCATCCACTAACGACAACAACTATTTTTTTATTCCGATTAAATATTGCATTGTCCCAGAGAGTTTCGGCTTTCAATATAGGCACTGTAAAATTGCAACACGGTGTTATATAATTAAAATTTAGCTTTGTCATGTCCGCAGCTCTGACGTTGGGTACGTTGAAAGTCTCTGCAAACTTGATGCCTGTAAATTAAATGATATATAGAGTTGGGACTTGAATGTTCTTCGTACTCACATTGATCATTAATTAAATCAGTCCATTTTTTAGGAAGAATTCCCATATTCAAAGCCATATTAATTCCCTTCCCAGCTTGTGTCCTTGCCCAATCGAATATTGAATTTGCATATATTCCGCTGAGACATAAGCAAAAAACAGCTACAGAAAAATAGATTCTTTGCATATCCAAGCGATGAGGGTTCCGGCTTACAATAGAAGTCTTTCTTAACTGTCGCGTTAAAATTAGAAGTGATTAAATGAAATCCATTCGATTAGTTTTGCCATTCTGATTAAATTTAATGCACACCATGAAGTGAAAGTGAATTATTTTTCCACAGTACATTTACGTTTAGATGAAACTATTCTATATTTCTAATATTAAGTGAACAAAATATCAAGTATATAAACTTAAATCTAAGCTTAAAAATTAACTCTATCTTTTTAGTACTACGTGCCATGTATTTTACAGATATCTTCATACTGCACGTTCTCTACAATACGTCCCTTTAGTGGACCGTGCAGTATCTCAATGGTAACACAATATTTGCTTTCATTTAGCTTTTTTAGCAGAGCTTCTGAGCCTCTGTAAGCACCATTTACCACAAGTACTTCTTTGCCCAAGGCAGGTATCACGGTCTCCAGATGTGCCTGAGCAAATAGAAAATGTTATTAATGAAGTATATGGTTAACCTTTAGAGAATTTGGGTAATTACCTGATCCACTTTACACTTTTCCCCGCTGTCCAAGAATTTAATTTTTGCACGATATTTATCTATAACTTCCTGGACCACAGCCTTCTGTTTGTAGAACTTATCACCCATGGAGTTAGAGATGAATTTAACTACTATATTCGGATGGAGCCAGTAATCCTTGCGATTTGTACGTTCCTTCTTCATCTCCTCCTGTTTTATGATTTCATCTAGCGCTGATCTGCTAGACTCGATCGGAACTGGCTTGGGTTTTTTAAAGACTTTCTCATCTGGCTGGTCGGCTGGTCGTTTTGTGAGCAACGCTGATTTACCCAATATCGACTCAGGCTGAAACTTTTTCTCTAATCGGATGTCCAGCTTTAGGGGTTGTTCCTCTTCACGTTTCAGTTCGGTATACTTCTCCTGCGTTTCATCATCCTCGCCTTCTTTAGACTTTGCTTTCTTGATTTGTTTCTCAATAAATTCGGTCATACGCTCTTCGTCATCCTTTTCCATTTTCTCTTTGCGTTCAGCTTTCGCTTGACGCTCCATAGCCTCCGGACTGCGGTCAATGTAGGTGACAAACCATCCTTTTTCCGTTTCATCAGCCACCACTTGGCCAGTGCGTCCCAGCCACTTGACATAGTCTGAGAGCGTCAGCCATCGAGTGGCATTCATGTGAATGTGCTCCTTGTGTGCAATGTACTCCTGATATACTTTATTAGCGTTCGTGCGCTTGGTGCCAAAGCGACGACGCAACAATTCCATATAACCATCGGAGAACTCTTTGGAAAAGTTGTGCAAAAACTTGCCAGGCGAATCCGCAAAGAGAAGCAGCTGCCGTTGATGCGACTCGCTCATTGTATGGCATTTAAAGCCATTTTCATCGCGGCACTGTTTCTCACACATCTGACAATACCAGCGCAACTTCTGCAAGCCCTTGGCCTTCATCTTGTTGGCCAAGTACTTGGGCGTACCAACTTCAGCGCGACCCATATTTCCAATTTATTCGTGATTTTTAAATACTTTAAACAAAACGAGAGATGTAAATAATTCTACAGCTGCTAGTTCCGCTGCCCTTACACCATATGATATGTAGTTCCACAAGTGTGAGTCAGTGAACTTGTTGCTAGGCGATAACAGAGTTATTTTAAATGCAATCGAACGCGATAACATAATGTAATCGATTACCAGTGTTTATAATACAGATAATTGGGTCACACAATTTTTCAGCATCTATAGGCGCGATTTTTAAAGTTTAGACTGCGTATCAAGATGGTCACATGTTCACTGAGCTATGCATCAACAATCGTATATACCTAATTTACATACCGGTTAAATTATGCAATAAAAAAAACAAGTATGCGTATTTTACTTGCATATTGTAATAAATTATTTGATAATTACTAGTCATTCAACACTAAACTTGCTTTGATCATAAGTGTGGAAAGTGTTAGGTTCAATAATCGTAGGTTAATATACGTGAGCAAACTAACAAATAAAGCTGGTTTTGATAAGATATAATCCACAAACCGGCGTATCATAGGTAGATTCTCTAATCTTTTTTCTAGCCACAGACACTAGGTACTTGAAAAAAGGTTCACCCTAATGTTGTGGCATACCGGCACGAACACAGCCCAACTGTAAATATATGTATATACGTCTCTAGGCGCCTATGTACATACATATATATTGATGCGTGTGTGTACTATGGTTAATTAATTTACAACTCTAACAAGCATTCAGCGCGAACTGAGGTCCAATGCAGCGATACGGCCAATCAGTTCGCATTCCCAGTTGAGTAGCGGTTGGCGAAGGTTCGATCGGAAATATAGTGAAATGGACGGTGAAAGTGAGACCACTGCTTCGATTGTCAATGGCGTTCGCATGAGGTTAATGGATGATTGGAGGATTCTACAGAATGTCTTCAAGCTGGTGCAGCGGGAGGAGACTATCTGCGTCAATCCACAACAATGGCAGCAACAGAAAATAGTCGATTTTATGCAGCCAGACGAGCTGAAGGTGAGTGCCCCCTGTCCTTCCTATCCGAGGTCTAGACGTCCGCCTCGTCAAAGTAGCCGAGACAGTTTCCGATAAGCGCCTTTTATATTCATCATTGAAAGAGTTCACTATGCAGTTGCTTGATCATTTTAATGATTTGCTGTTTTAATTTTTATATGCGCATATTCAACCATGAAACGTCTTTTCTATCATTACAAAGTAATACAATTTATATTTATATGTATATTTCATAGAAACATATTAATCTGACTATCAAGGAAAAGGAAACATCCACACTCTCCGACATTGAAGAGATCTGTCAACAGGTAATTAAATATTCTGTGAAAACCTCACATGGACGCTTCCACAATCAACTATTTGGTCAATTGGATCCCTTTGGATTGGCTGGCTCCTGGCTGACTGAGGCATTGAACACGAGCTCGTAATATGTCAAACATGTATATGTATATTACCTTAACATATTTAAATGGCTGCATTTCTAGTTACACTTTTGAGGTTGCACCAGTCTTTAGCCTGGTCGAGACTGAGGTCATATCAGCGGTCTGTAGATTAGCCGGTTATAGCCATGGCGATGGCATATTCGCGCCTGGCGGCTCCGCCTCGAATATGTACGGCCTGGTTTTGGCTCGGTATAAACGCATCCCAACAGTGAAGTCTTCGGGCATGTTTGGTATTCGACCTTTAGTAATTTTTACGTCTGAGGATTCGCATTACAGCCTGAAAAAGGCTGCCCACTGGTTGGGTATTGGGGCCGACAATTGCGTAGCTGTACGCACCAATGCTAAGGGACAAATGGCCTTAGACGATCTGGAGGACAAGATTAAAGCAGCAAAGGAATCCGGTCTTGATCCATTTTTTATCAATGCAACGGCAGGCACAACTGTGCTGGGCGCCTTTGATGACTTGGACGGCATTGCTGATGTGGCACAGCGTTACGGCCTCTGGATGCATGTGGACGCCTGTTTAGGCGGTGCTGTCTTGCTTGCCTACAAGAATCGCCAACTACTGAAGGGCCTACAACGCGCCAACTCCTTTGCCTGGAATCCACACAAGACACTTGGAGTTCCGTTGCAATGTTCCTTATTCCTTACCAAGGAATCGGACTTGCTAGCACGCTGCAACAGCATTGAGGTCAACTACCTTTTCCAGCAGGATAAGTTCTATGATGTTACTTACGACACCGGCAACAAGAGCATTCAGTGTGGCCGCAAAATCGATGCCTTCAAGTTTTGGCTAATGTTTAAGGCACGTGGTTACGGGCTCTATGGACACTTGGTAGACCATGCCATAGAAATGGCACGCCTACTCGAGCAGAAGTTGCGCGCACGTCCTGATCGATTCAGACTTGTCCTCGATCAACATGAATACTCCAATGTTTGCTTTTGGTACATTCCGAAAGCGATGAGAGTGCCCAGCTCTGAGGAGAATGAAGATTGGTGGGCACGTCTGTATACCGTAAGTATGAGCTGCCAGTTGCGATCGACTCGTTGCCAAACTTTCTTCCAATAGGTGGCACCGAAAGTGAAGGAGCAGATGGCATATAGTGGTACCTTGATGGTCGGATATTCACCGCTTAGTAGCCGCCAGTTGGGCAACTTTTTCCGAATGGTGTTCACTTGCTTTCCCGTGCTCGAAGCTGCAGAGTTGGACATAATATTGAATGAAATCGAACGACTGGGCGAGCTCTGATAGTGCTGAAATGCATATTTAATTAGAAATCTGATTAAAATCTGACAATACTTTACCCAAAACAATAATAAATAAAGAACAAATTATAATAAAAATTTGATGCTTCAAGTAAAACGGTTTCTTTTTTATATATGGTTTCTCTTGATTTAACATATTATCTTTGCTTTTTTTTCAATTTATGGTATATGTATTATTTGCAATTTTTCTTTTATTCGCCAACAACGTTAAAATGGAAGAAGGATTGTGTGTGTATGTGTTTGTGTGTTCTTTTTGTATTATTAAAATATTCTATTTTATATTGTTTTCGATTGTTTTCTTTCTTTTATAAATCAACAGTATTCAATTTGCGGTCTCATTAATTGATTAAAACAGTGTGAAATTTTCTAGTAGTCATCTAAATCGAAGCAGTCGTTGTCCAATTCATCGAGCTGCATACTCTGGAAATCCACTTTGTAGCGCAAGATACCTGTGGGAAGCATTAGCAATATATTAAATATTATCAAATAAAGTTTATCAAAGAGATCAAATAAATCAAATGAGCACAGAACAAATTGTAATTGAAAGGATAAAAGCGAAAGTGCAACAAAATGAGCGAAAATAAATCAAAGTAATAGCACAACACATTTTTAGATAGAAATACAATACTAATTAATTTGTTTAGCATACTCAAGTACTT